TATTTTTATTACCTCAAAGCTCCCAAGAAAATTAAATTTTGGCATTAAATGATCCATGAAGGTGTTGATATGCTGTTAAACAAACAAATCAAATCAATTCTTCATCAGTCACAAAAAGATTTTTTTTATTGTAAATCATAAGAAAAAAATGAATTGTTACTTTTTATTTATGACTGATTTCTAATCTAGGAACCAGTTCTTTTTTTTTGTTTTTTAAACATTTCTCCCCAAGCCACTAAGATGCAAGAGGTTACTGAGTGTAAAAGAATAAGAAAAAAATAGAAACATTATTAAGTAGCAAGAACGGTAAAAGAACAAGAATTAAGAAGACAGAAGATAATGACTGACATTACATTTAAAGTTTTGAAGATCAAAGTTTACTGGTAAGCACAAGTTCCACAAGCAAGAAGTGTGAGAGAACAAACTGTTACCATAGAACTTACGGTTACATCCAGGCATTTTAAATGTAAAATGAGGAGACCTAGCTGCCAATCTAGTATTGCTTTTAAACTCATAAAGTTGAGATACTAAAGAGGAAAGCTCAGCAGAACAATTACCATGAAAGTATTTATAGAAAAGACAGAGGGAAGCTACATTACACTGGTGGGAAAGTGATTGAAGTTGAGATGCCAGGTCAGGACTGATAAAATTGCAGATTCTTCTTTGGATTTTATGAAATACATAACAGAAGCACCAGACTAGATGTGGCCTCAATGTATGGATGAAAGATAGACTTATAAATGTGTCAAGAAAAATTGTCTACCATAACACATTGAATCAACTTTCCTTGCAGTAGACCTAGCAATTGAGTCAATATAATCTTTTTACTTCATGTCAGTGGGAAATGTTAGTCTGAGAAAGTGTAGTGAGTAATTCTCCTGGAGGTTAGCATCAGCCATGCTGATGGAAAGCAGAAAGGTTCTCTATGATGATTAAAAGAGAGTAGATTCATTTTGGGGCAACAGAAATATGATTCTACAGAAGGATGCTGAGAATACCATGGACAGAAATTATCAATGACATATTGGAATAGTGAAAGATGCCTTTCAAAAGCTAAACAAAGTATTAAGAAACAGAAAAATTTCATTAAAAACAGAAAAGATTGCTGAAATGCTATATAATATCAATTCTCCAAGATGGCAGCAAATGCTGGACAATTTCCTCACAGATGAACTGGAGGCAAAGTGATTTTTGGATCTACAGAAGGATGTTGAGAATAGCATGGAAGGAATATGCCAGGTAGAAGGATGTTTTAAGGAAAATGGAAACAAAAAGGATGCAATAAGCTTGTGATGTTGCAACTATGGGAAAGAGGCGGCTATAAAGTGGAATGAAAACTTTTGAATTCTATCAAGGATTGGGCAATTCCAACCCAGATATAGCAGACTGATTGATTGATTCATTTTCTATGGCTTATCAACCCATTTTCAGGTTATTTAAAGCCAGAAAATATTTTTAGATTGGAAGAATTTTTTTGTTGGGGAGATAATTTAGGGATACAAATTTTACTAATTAACCCATAGCTGGATGGGGGTAGAAGAGGTGGATTCATACCTAATCAGAATTTGATAAACAAAGAAGAAATCATAATGCGGGTATAAAATGGGGGATCAATTCTATATTACAATCAATACTTAAACTGATCCCTCACTTTGTGATCACGGTAATTTCTATACATTTATATTCCAGGGACTAAATAAATCTAAAAGACATGTCTGTGTAGCTAATCAGTGATTGATTGCTTCATTTTATACAGCTTATTAACCCTTTGCAGATTATTTAAATCCAGAAAATATTTTTAGATTGTAATAATTTTTTTTGAGATCATGATGATTTAATGATAGAAGTCTTACTAATTAACCCATAGCTGGAGGGAGGAGAGGTAAAATTATACCATTCCCAAGGGTATTTAAGTGTAAGTGAATATAATGAACCCAACTGGAATTGGAACACAGCTCTCTGATTAGCAATCCCAAGCCATTATCCATTACACCACTTGCACATCCAAACTTACACTACCTGGTATTTCCAAGCAGTCACCCATCTAGGTACTGACCAGACTTACTTCACTTTGATGATCATACAGGAACCATCCCATGGTATTTAATCTAATTACATTATTGATTTTTTTATTTGTTATTCAAACGCTTATCAATCATTTGCAGGAAATATTTTTAGATTGTAAGATCATAAAGCCAGGAAATATTTTTAGATTGTAAGATTTTTTTTTAATATAATAATGATTTAATGATAGAAGTCTTACTAATTAACCCATAGCAGGAGGGAGAAGAGGTGGATTGTACATGTACAGAATGGCAGAAAGAATCAGATACTTGCTGTTGTGATGGAATGAGCTGACCATTTCTCCAGCATTTTAGTTGGAGTCAAGGTTGAAAACTGAATCTGTTATTTGTAGAAAATACAGTGATAGCCAAACGTTTTCAAAATATTTTCACAAACCATGGCAACTGTACTAAATGTAGAATAATTTTAGTGAATTATTTCTTTCAGTTATTTTTCTTTACTTCTATGTTATCATGGGGATTTTAAGGAGTGTTTGAAAAATTTTTGCCATCACCAAATTTTAAGGAAATCTATATGATTATCTTATGTGTGCTGTCCTCATCTCCTGTCTCTTCAATATATTTGGAGGATCTCATATAAAAATAGATATTTTCCTTGTGGATAATAGAAGCCTATGTTTTTTTCAAGTGCTTTGTAACTGATCCATTCAAAGATTTGGATATTTTTACTAGTGTACTCGGACTACTTTAAGCTAAGTCCAATAAGAGAAGAACCAAAATGAATAAATAATGGAAATAGAAGAAAATATAAAGAAATAATCAGATCTAGAGAACTGAAGAGATTGAAGAACACAAGAGTTATTATTGTTGGAGGCTTTAGAGTAATTTCTATTGGCTCAAAGAAATTGGTACAGAATTACTGAACTTGAAGAAACGGTTCTCATTGCCTTTCAAAAGCTAAACAAAGTATTAAAAGACATGAACTTTTCATCAAATTAATTTGTTTTTTATGGCTTAACAACCTCTGTAGGTTATTTAAAGGCAGAAAATATTTTTTAGATTGTATTAATTTCTTTGAAGATTTACGGATACAAGTCCTACTAATTAACCTATAGATGGGGGAGAGAAGAGGGTGGATTTATGTCTAATCAGAATTTGATAAACAAACAAGAAACTATGAAGTGGATATAAAGTGGGGGATCAATTCTATATTACAATCAATACATAAACTGATTCCTCAGTTTGTGGTCATGGTAGTTTCTATACATTTATATTTGAGAATGTAAATAAATCTAAAAGACATGTCAGTGTGGTTAATCAGTATTTGATTTATTTTTATGGCTTATCAACCCACTGCAGGTTATTTAAAGCCAGAAAATATTTTAAATGTTTGTAATTTTTGGAGAAAGATAATATTGATTTACTGATACAAGTCCTAATAATTAACACATGGCTGTTGGATGAAGAAGTGAATTAGATTTAAAGAACTTTTTGTGGTGGTAATAAAGATTTAGTGATACAAATCATACTAAATAACCTATAACTGGAGGCGGGGAGGAGAAGTGAATTCATACCTTTCCCAATGGTATTTGAATATAATGAATCTAACTGGAATTGGAACTTGGCTCTCCAATTTCCAATTCTGAGCCATTATTCATTACACCACCCATACATTCAAGCTTGGCATTCCGAAGTGATTATGCATCTAGATAGGGATCAGGCTCAACATTGCTTATCCATTGATTGTATGAGAATTGGGGTTTCAACATGATATGGACATAAGCCATTTTCATTAGAAACAAACAAAAGAGTTTTGAACTTTAAAGAAATGGAAAACAAAAAGGACATTTATACTTTTTTTTTTAATTGAGTTCTCCCCAAGTAAGGTAGTAAAGCCACTAAGACAAAAGGGCTCATTGGGTGTGGAAGAACTAAAAAAAAAAAAACACAAATAGTCATCTGTTGTGTTCAGAACTTTCATGCCGGTATAGCCAGAAATAGTGTTTCCTATGGGCTATATCGGCAGAGCATGCTGGTGTGAACCATGGAGAAGATTGAGGTTTTACCTGGTATTTCCGAGAAGAAATGAAAACATCTGTGCCAGCTTTGATCCAAGAAGAAATCTCAGTGGCACAATTCTCAATATGAAGGTTAAAAATATCAATCCAAGGGGTATCTTGAAGAAAGTCATTGAGTGACTCCTGGTTAACATGCTGGTAACAGAAAGAGGTCTTATCAATAGGAGGTTCCTCTCTAATAGGTGATGGGAACAAGATATTACAGAGAACAGTGTTGTGAAGCTTGGCAAGAGCAGATATGAATGTACGTGAGAGATTCATGGAAGATTGTAGTTTAAAAGCAGTAAAATCGACCTAGTTAACCGAACGATCCTCTGTGGCTCAATCGGTTTGTGTGTGTGTGTGCAGTCTTTGGCAAATGTGACTTGTTAGTTTTTTTCAGAGATGGTTTGTATTTTTGAATAAATATATTTTCTTTCTTTATTCATGTTTAGTTTGTGGTGCTGTCTGGGCAACAATAAAATGGGAAGACTTGGAATTTGGGGGGGACTTATTTTTTGCACATAAATCTAACTGTCCACTCAGTGGTATCTGTCTTGTGGTGGGGTTTTGTATTTTTTGGCAATGAATTGTAAGTTTGCTTTGCCTGATATAATCTTCATTACATCCTTTACATTTAACAGAATATATTTAATTTTTTGATGAATAGGTGAAATGATATTTTACAAAACAATGTTTTTCTTGATTTAAATTTATACATTGTGTCTTCAGTGAGGTTAATGAAAGTCCTGCAATTAGGGCGACTATATATTTTAACAGTTGGTGTTAAATTTTTAAGTGCTTTTTTCATTCTTGGGTGTTGTCTCAATAGTGGGATCTTCTTGCGGATAATGTAGGCTTCTGTATTTTGGGGGTTGGTATGTTTTTTTGTTTGTCGTAATTTTTGAATATCTTCAAGATCAATGGCTTTCACATGTTCTATTCTGTTATCTATTGATAATGATGGAAACTCTCTTTTGAGTCAAAGTTCTTTCAATTCTTTGAGTCTTTTATTCCATGTTTCATAATTTGAGACAATTGTGCAAATTCTACTTGCTCAATTAAATAGAATATTTGTCATGTGTTTTGGATTTTTGGCTTGAGGTGAAAAGCAAACATTGTTTAGAATCTTCTGGTTTGTGGTCAATGTCAGTTTCAATGTTTGTGTCTGTTTTATGATTAGAATGTCCAGGAATCTTAGTAAAGAAATGTGCAGGACAATAGGATAGCATGTAATACATACTGCTTAATAAATAAAAATAGGATGTCAATTGCAAAAACTAAGTATCTAATTTAATAATGATTTAATAAGAATGTTTGAAGTAAGAAAAATGTCAGATTAAAAATAAATCCATTAAAAATATATATATATATATATATATACTTAGTTGAAAGTGCTCAATATCAGTGATAGAGCTAATATATTAAGTTGTATGGATATTAGTTTGTGACACTGGGTTTCACAGTTTTGCGATCATTAGACAGATTGGTTTATTTTTAAAAAAATGGATCTATTTAAGCTTATCAATAATAAAAAATAAATAATTAAAAAATATCAATAAATAAAAAAAATAAAAAAACGGTTTGTCTGATGATCGTAAAAGTGTGAAACCCAGGGTCACAAACTAATATCCATACAACTGAATACACCTACACCTACACACACACATCTAGTGTATTGGTGCTGCAGATCATTATTCAAATATATATTGTTAAATATAACAGACAACAAATGTTTATTATGTTTGATCATGAGCCGTTCTAAGCTTCATATAGTTGCTTTAATTTTGGGAGAAAATAAAGACAAAAACTGTCCAACATTTAGATAATTTTTTATTATGCTGTTCCTTGATCTAAACTTTTGACTCACATGAGCCATCATCAGACTTGTTATATGGACATATATATATATATATATATATATATATATATATATATATATATATATATATATATATATATATGATCATGGCCCATGAATTCTTTTTATTTTACTACAATTTAAAAAAAAGCTTAGATTGAGGGGATAAGATAATAAAAAATATCCAAATGTTGGATTTTTTTTTTGGTCTTTTATTTTCTGGGTGGATTTTTTTGCTTCAGGATCACCTGCTGGAATAGGTATTGTTTCGGTAGGGTTTCTTGGGTGAACAGGTATGATGTTGAAGGACTTGAAACTTGTCATGACCCCAAGTCATAACATCACTGATGAGGCGATCCTACGCACGCTTTGGAGTGTATACATAGCAAATACTTTTATTTATATTTATAACTTTTTTTTTTTAATTTTATATTTATCTTTATAATTATCTATTATATATTTTAATTATTCTTATATTTATAAATATTTATTATATATTTTAATTTTTATTTTTCTTATCTTTACATATATATTATTTAATATTATTATTTATATATTTTTTTAATATATTTCTTTTTTTGTATTCTTATTTATTTATAAATAGTTATTACAAGTTTTTTTCTTAACCTTATCTATATAAAGTTACCCTCTTGATTTTCTGTTCCTTTATGTTTAACAGATTTTTTATATTTCAGTATCTCCAACTTTAATTTTAATTCTATTTCTATTTTAATTTCTTTTTTTTTTTTTTTTTATCTCCACCCTATAATTTCGTAACTTTAATCCAGAATTATACCTTAATATTAGATTTTAATTATGAAATTATTAAACACAGAATTAATATACTATATAACATTGCTTTCACGAGAGCCAGAATTTTAAAAATTCTACTGATTATAACTAAAGTTCATCGCAATTATGAGATAAAACTCAGACATAAGGTAATATGTATATATATATATATATATATATATTTAAATTACGATAAACGTGCAATCAATTTACAAATGCATGAATTATTCACACAAAAACTAATGCAAAGGTTAATGATTTAAATGGCGAGACATCCATCATCGCAAACAATTCAAATAATATACAAAAAACTCCGAATCCGTTATGAATGAAATGACCCTTGTTTATATAAATTTATATAAATATAAAAAAAAAAAAAAAAATTTACCAGTAAAAAATTTGTTCATCACCATATTTTATATGAACGCACAACCTTTAAAAATTCAAAATCAAACTCAGCGTTGCTACTGTGCGCTCCAAAAACAATAACTCATTTTCAATAGCATTTTCGGATACAACAATACATATATTTTCGTTGTCCTCTTATTACTAAGAGAAAAAACAAGAACAACATCTATTCTATACCTGAAGATGTCTGTAGGAACAGACGAAAGCTTGTAGTAAAAATATCTGAAAATCTTTCAATACCCCTTTCTACTGTTAATAGAGTGATCGTACAATTCACCAGAGAGTGCAAGAAGTGCACAAAACCTCATCCAGGCCGGCCTGGGCTCTCTGAAAGAACCATGCGTCTTGTCGAAATAAATGTTGAACAGGATCCACGTTGCAAGGCCTCTGACATAGCAACATAAGATGATGTCAGTCCCAGAACAGCTGTCAGGTATCTTCACAAGCTGGGCTACTATGGCAGAGCTGCGAGAAGGAAACCACTTCTCCGTCCAGCCAATATCAAACGCAGAAAGGATTGGGCTCATGAGATGATGGAGAGACCTGTGACCTTTTGGACCACTGTCATTTTCTCTGATGAGTCAAGATTCGCATTATTTTCCGACAGTGGAAGAGTATGGGTATGGAGACTGTAGTCAAGAGTTTGATTTAAAAAGACTGCAGCCAACGATGAAACATGGGTGCCTTTCAGTAATGGTATGGGGTGCAATTTGGAGTGATGATTGCTCAGAGCTTGTGCTGTGTGAAGGAAAAATTAATTCAACCAAATATGTTTCTATATTAAAGAAAGGGCTCCTTCCAATATTCTCAAGTAGTAGAATGAGCAACGTTGACTCCCTATTTATGGAAGATGGAGCTCCATGTCACACTGCTCAAGCAACGCAACATTGGTTGAGACAAAATGGGATCAATAAACTTCCATGGCAAAGTCAGTCCCCGGATATTAACCCTATTGAACAGCTTTGGGGCATATTAGATCGAAAACTCTGCAAAAAGAACAGGAAGCCATCTTCTAAGCCCGAAGTTTTAGGATTATTGCGTCAAACATGGCAAGAAATCCCTCAAGATGATATTCGTGAACTCATTGCTAGCATGCCTAGTAGGGTCCTTGCATTAAAAAAAGCAAAAGGGATGTCAACCAAGTATTAGTTATTAAATTTCTGACCATTTATAATTAGTTCATTTGTATACATTACTTGTTTAATAAAATAAATGGTTTCTGTGAGCGTCTATTCAATTCTGTCATGCCTCTGTGTGTGTGTATATATATATATATATATATATATATATATATATATATATATATATAATAGTATACACACACAGACATAATAATATATATATATATTATTATTATTATTATCATTATGTATTATTTTAATACCTATACTTGGGCGGTGTGAAAAAAATGTATATTACATTTTGTAAATAAAAATATATTTGAACAAACCAATATCAGGGAAAAATTCAGTAAAAAAAGAAAAGACTAAAGACATTCGTGTTGGTCGAAAATAATCAATTTGTGCTGCAATGCCTAGTCAAAAGAGAAAACACCGACTGAGTAAATTAAATAAAAAGGCAAAAGTGCTCAATACACTAAGTAGAGTGAAATCTAAAATCTAGTGAGCCAGAACCTACCTACCAAGGTTGCACCTAACAGATCCTCAGGGTACTACTGGCTAAAGAGGGTAGGTGCAGGTGACAATTTATTGGTAAAAACAGCCAGAGTAAACTAATCAAATTTGCATAAGACAAAACAAGAACAAGACAAGGGAAACAAAAGGGTAGGCCAAAGCTATTTTATTGAAAAGACGAACACAGAAAGCAAGAAAAAAAAACAAAACTACTAACCTTTTATTCAAGTAACCAGGCTTTTTTGTATATACACCCATTGAGAATTCCCGATCTGTGGTTAAGTAACTTGTAGGGAGTATTTTAATATTATTAGAGTATTATAGTATGGCTAATTTTGCCTCCATGCATAGGAGGCAATGCCTATCGTCTAGTTTATATTTGCAGCATTTTTTTTTATGATCTCCTAATTTAATATGGAGTCAATCTTTTTTAATTTTCCACACATGATTGAATAAACTAGTTCTATGTCTCATGTGTGAAACTACTTTTATGTTTATAATATCTTTTTTTTTTAAATCTATCTATCTATCTATCTATCTATCTATATATATATATATATATATATATATATAAACATAAAAATGTCTTTAAATAATTGTCGGACTTTATCCATTTTATAATGTATGACGTCATTTGTTTACATTTGATACGCCATGAGCAGTTATGAATGTATGTGAGAGATTCATGGAAGATTGAAGTTTAAATACAGTAAATTCGACCTTGCCAACCGAACGATCCTATGGGGCCAAATGGTTAGGCACGTCAAGCTAAATGACGGTTCTGTATAGGATGCAGGTTCAAATCCTGTCAAAGGACGAATATTTTCTATGAAAATTTCTCGGACATTCAGGCCGGTAAATGTTATTTAATACTGTTTATTATAAACAGAGCATTTACTAAAATACTTGTATCTATAAAAAGAATGTTAAACATAAAATGTCTTTAAAATATATATATATATATATATATATATTAATGAGGCTTATATATATATATATATATATATATATATATATAGCCTTATTAATAAAAGCAAAAAAAACAAAAAAAACAACACTTAATAATATCAACTATGAACATGGACACAATATCTTGACCGTGTTTTGATAAATGAAAACTTTATATAAATACATACATGCAACAAACTATTTCTTATTTAGCAGTTAAAATATTTAATCCTTCAAAATGCCTAAATGTATAGCCAAAAGTGTTCGGAATAAAGGAACATTCGGACAGTTTTTCTATAATTTATCATCTGAAAAGAAAAAAATTATTAGATCGCATGAGAAATTGTATAAAAAAACTAAATCAAAGCACCTTGTC